CAAAAAAATTTTTCTGATGTGAAAAGTATTTGGAGCCATGTGCAGAAGTTCACGTATGTGAGGCAAGATCTCACCATTCATGTTGGAATTGCCAGAAACGATTCACGATCACGAATTCTGATCTTAGACCAAATATCCTCTGGGTAGCCAAAAACATCCGTCCACGCCCCAACGGAAGAGAAAGACGATGTGACCAAAGAGCGCATCTGGGAGCTGCCCCTCCACGATGTCAAAATCGTGCTTGGAGACCTTACACCCTAGCATTGGCAAAGAAGATATCTTATTTTAAAGGCAATTCCCACGACAGCCGATTCTACGTACCGGAATTGACGGATTTTATCCGACCAAGGGCTGTTTTTTCGGGGATCTAACCCCGTTGGGATCGGTGAGTACTAATTTGTGTTTGTCGTCATTAGAGCAACGCCTTGCAGCAGGGTTGCTCCGTATCCTCCTGWCYCGTGCTGGCATTGAGTCCAACCCGGGCCCGGAGGAATTTTTCTGCAGCGTATGCGCAAAAAGGCTCCATACAAACACCACCTCGGTCAGGTGCATTGGATGGAGCCATCTTAAGACCTATTCAGGCCTTAAGACCCATAGGGAGTGCACCACGCGTTACGTGGCCCCATGTTGCCTGAGCAATAGCGCGACACAAACCTCTACGGCTGTGCAATCTGCACATAGTTCGCGCGCCGCGCCACCACTCAACCTGAGTGACCAACAGATGATCTCCCATATTTTAGCCGGCAGCTTACACTGCACCCTTCGGTAGACAAAGCCAAGAGATGTGTTAACCGAAGGCTGCGCAAAATGCCAAACAACTGCGCGCCGCTTACTTTCACCGATGAAGAGGTTCAGACTGTCATCAAAAAAGCAAAATCATCCAAATCCATTGGCCCTGATGGAATCAATATACAAATGCTAAATCATCTAGGCCCGACGGGAGTAAGTTGCCTCACCAAGGTCCTCAGCCTGTCACTGACCACTCTTCAAATACCCGATGTGTGGAAAATCGGAAGAGTGGTCCCACTACTGAAACCTGGGAACCCGCCAGCAAAGGGCAATCTTATCGCCCGATAACTCTCCTCTCACCAGTAGTGAAGACAGTTGAGGCCTTGTTACTCCCGACCTTCATTCACCACCTGAGCCTAGCCAGTCACCAGCATGGATTCCGAAAAGTGCACAGTACCACCACAGCACTTAGCGTCATAAACGCTCAGATAGTTCGTGGCCTCAACCAGAAAAAAACCGTGTGAGCGAACGATCCGTTGGACTTGTCAAAAGCTTTTGACACAGTCAACCATACAACGCTACTGCAGGACATCGAAAAAACTACGCTTCCTCCAGGGCTAAAGAGATGGAAAATGAATTATCTGAGCGGTCGTCAGTCATCCGTACTATTTCGAGGTGAAACATCCAAACTGAGAAGAATTAAAAAGGGGGTTCCGCCGGGTGGTGTCCTCTCCCCGCTACTGTTTAACTTCTACATCTCGAAACTAACGCAACCACCAGAGGGGGTTTCCATAACCTCGTACGCTGATAACTGTACGATATTGACGTCGGGCAATGGAATTGATGGCATGTGTTCGAAAGTAGACAACTACCTCTCCGACCTTTCTCGTTTTCTCACTGCACGGAACCTCACACTGGTCGAAGGAGTATAGACTGGAACATAAGTTGCAGTCAATAACCCTAAGATTTTAGGTGTAACTTTCGATAGTCTGTGCTCCTTCTCTCCTCATACGACCGTGATTATCATCAAGGTAAAGAGCCACAACAAAATCCTCAAGTCGCTACCCGGCAGCATATGGGGAAAAGGAAAAGAGACGTTGTTGGCAATTTACAAGGCAATCGGCCGGCCGGTCCTTAACTACGCAGCACCAGTATGGTCGGTTGGATGCAGTAGTACGCAGATGAGGAAACTCCAGACCTTCCAGAATACAGCACTCCGGACTACGACGGGATGCCTCTTAATATCTCCCATCGAACACCTACATAGTGAGACGCTTATGCTCCCAGTTAAGGAGCATAATGAACTCCTCTCCAAACAGTTTCTGCTAGGATGTTTCCGAAGGAATCACCCTTGCAGCCATCTGCTTGGAGCGGAACTGCCTCCCAGGAGCATCAAAAGGTTCTTCCTTGACTACGTCGACGACGTCATACAGTACGCCGACCGGACTTCGGGCGCAACTGACTTTCGACTCCCTTTCATGTGAATGGCGTTCTTGGAGTCAAACCACCACCAATTGCAGACGAAGAACTCCAGTTGCCACGAGAAACGCGATTGCAACTAGCGCAACTTCGTTCTGGATATTGTAGCAGGTTAAACTCCTACTTATCCAGAATTGACCCAGACATACCCAATGTATGTCCTGCATGCAACGAGTCCTCGCATGATACTGGCCACCTCTTTGCATGTCCTACTAACCCTACTCATCTAACATCCTCTTCCCTTTGGTCCGACCCCGTCGAAACAGCACGTTTCCTGAGCCTCCCGTTAGATGATCTCGACGACAACGCCAATGACCCTTACCACCCAAACGGGGATTAGATAACCGTTAAAACAACAACAAAAAGGTTTCTTTGCTGTGATAGACGCAAGACACATCTCCAGTGTTTTAAACGTGCGTACGCTCCGAGGCCTCATATCGACTCGGACCACTATCTTGTTGCAGCAAAGGATACGCACCTGCCTCTGTGTAGGTTCGACGTCGATTTTCTAATCGTCTTGCAATCATGCTCTTTAGAGTATTCGTCATCGATTCGGTATAATTGAATTGTAATACCAATACTGCAGCAGAGAACTAAAAGGAAGCATTCATCAGCTTCTTTGTAAAATATGGGAGACACCAAAATCTGCGGCAACTTCCGTAAGATAAGTCTCCTAAACATCACATATAAGATTCTTGTTGTCAATAACATTACATATAAGGTTAAAGCCCCTGTCAACAAACTGATTCGACCTTATAAGTGTGGCTTTAGGCCTGGAAAATCAACAACCGTTCAGATATTCACCATGAGCAAAATCTTGGAAATGACCCGTGAAAAAAGAATCAACACACTACAGAGCTACCTTTATGCCGCTATATCTGAACGTGGTAACCCCGCAAAGCTAATATGGCTGGGTAAGCTGACGTTGATCAACACTAAAAGCTTCGTCTGGATCAGGAAGGGGAGCCGTTCGAACCAAAAGAATAATAAGGAGAATATCTATTGTATGAATTTTTCAATCTATTATACAATATTAAATAAGAACATAAAGCATCTGGGGTACGCCGATGACATTGATATCATTCTCCAGGTTGGACAAAAAAGCAAAGCAAATATATCTTGTTGTGAATGACGAGATGAAAAAGGACCTGCCCACACTTGGAATTTTCAATTGTGACTACGCCAATAAAGAAGAAAATTACGATTTGAACAAAATGTCGGCCAAATGGTCGACTATTATGCGCTGAATGTGGTCTTCTAGCTCATCGTGCGTTGCTGGTGATACCCGTAAACAGACACGGAGAGAAAACATTATCGACCCGTTAAATCATATGATCTCAGCGACCATTTTACTAAATCAATCATTATTTTTTAAATGAAAATCTAATTATCACTATTGGTAGACGGAATTTAACAAGCCGGACTTACTCAAAATACGGGGAATTAAAATATTGTGTGGAAGATTATTTTGAACAATCAGTGAAGTTCAAATCCCCCAAATTTACTTTGAGTGTGTAAAGTACAATAAAAAGTAATATTTACACAAGTCGAGGTCAAATTTCTATTTCATATCTTATCTTTATAATTTATTTATAAATGGATATAAAGTCCTTTAGAATGTCTGGGAACAGTCATCCTCTAGTCTTTAAAACTTCTAGACTCAGAGACATAACTTCTTAACAAAAACATATTCCCAAATTTGAGAGTCGATTGCAATCACCAGAAATCGACAAAACCCCGGATGAGCTAGCTCAACAAAGAAACTATGTTCTACGGCTTGATAAGAGCAAAAAAGTAGAAGTTACGAATAGCGTATATTTATTAGCCCGAATTTTTATAATAATAAATATAAACCGTGGGTTAGTTGGCTAAAAATTTAGGACGACTACGCATATGGTTGTAATCGGATCACTGCCACGCTTACAAAACGTCTGTAATAGAAAACCAGAAAGGTACCAAGCAATAAATTAAGATAGAAACCTCTAATTTGGAATGGGGAGTCGCAATAGCCAACAGTACCTGTAGACTAAAAGTATTGAAAAATAGGTGTGGTTCCGCAATCTAAAAGGTTTAATGTACATATCTCCTAAACCATAAAAACTAAAATAACAACATTCGCTGAGTACAAATACCACACCAACAACCTCTATGAAGAATGTAAAATATAAAGATTTTAGTAAAAGCGCGATAAATCCAAAAATGAATACCCCGGAAGCGTTAAAGTTTACACCCGAAATGGTACGGTATGGCTTTACAAGAGCCGCGGTTCAAATTGAACATTGGGCGTGGCGCCACCTTTTTTATTTCACCACATGTTTCGAAACCTAAACGACCGATTTAAACCAAATTCGTTGTGTAACATTCTGACATTTTTATGTCACAGTGCGAAAATGGGCGAAACTACAAGCACCCCTATTTCCCGTATAGCACTAAATTCCATTCTATTTCCAGTACACAAATGAAGTATTTATGGCAATATTGCTTGTACTTTTTAAACCTCTAATGATCAAGAATTGTCCAAATCGAATCAAAACTATTTAAACTCTTAAGTTCCGACTATGTGAACCCCGGTACCTACAGTTGTCTTTGGCCGAAAATGTATCTGTAGCAACATGTTAAAAACGATCAAAAGTAAATGAAGAACAGCTTACTTATAGTATAGCAATATTTTCCCGGAGCCCTCATTTAACCCAAGTTGTCATCTGTCAAATTCCACTTTGAATGAGCACCATTCATAGCCTTCACTATCATCGCAACCATTCGGTAACTTACATTTCTATAAATCACAAAATAGTATTTTTATTTTTCAGTCAAAATTCAAAATTTTATAAAAATTAACATTTTTTTTATTACAATTATCTGGACTCAATAACTTTTTACTACAAACTCACTTCACTTTAGGAAAACAATGAAAGTCAATGAAGATAAGGACTCCGAGAGTAGCAACAATCGCGACGGCATGTGCTGTTGCAACCCTGAACAATGTCCCTATGATCAGACTTATGTCTGGTATCCGAAACAAGTAAGTATTAAAGAGCTGGAATATGTGCGTCGAATGGAATCCGAGTTTACATCTCTACAACGCGCTGTGCTTACTCTAACCACACAATTCGCACGTTTGCAATTTCGCATACGACAAATAGTCCACGCTGAACCCTCTAAACGCGATGCTATGCTACTTGATCTTGAAAATTTAGCATCCAATACTGCAAATGGAGGAAACGATGAGGTGCCACACATACAGCGTGATTCCATAGATATGGGCGATGTGCGCCGAAAACAACATTTCATACTCGATCACCTCCATCAACAACTAGCCACCCTGGCTGATGAGCGGAGTTCGAAGTATGTACCAAAATTCGGTGACGATGCACAGGCTGCCCGTAACGACCGTGGAGGCACAAGAAGTTTTGCGAAAGTATCGGATACTACACAATACTCCGAGCCGGATTTTAATGCATTCACGAGTGGTGCCGATTCGGAGTACTCGGCCTCGATTAGAAATAAAGCTGACCAGTGGAGAGAAACTGAAGGTGAAAGTGACAAACATCACTCGAGAAGTTCAAGTCGCAGTCGCAAGGGGCTTGTAGAGCTTTGCTTATAATATTTGATATATACAATCGCACGAATGCTGAGTGTACTTTTTCAAAGGAGGCTACAGCTGTATATTTTGACTTTATTAAAGAAAAATACGAGTATTTCGGGGTGTTCAAATCCGAAACTATGTAAACAGCAGCAAAACAACCCAGTTGATTGTATATTGTCACCAGATAATCGAGGTTAGTTGTACATACATATATATAGCTTTAATTTTGACTTGTGTGTATTGGAGCTAAGCGAGACTACTACTAATAGTTCAGAATTATTTAACTGTAAATATTTTAATTTAGTAGCACAAAAAGAAACAAAAATAGAATATTGAAACATTGAATTATTTGTATACATATAATAAAAAATTTAAAATAACTTTTGTGAATTTTAGCTCTATAATTGAAGTCCCTTACTCATTTGGAAATACTATGAATATCATGAGCATAAATTAGTAAGACGTTAAATTAGTGGACGTCTGTTCAGTTCGAAAGAATATAAGAAGGGATTTTCCGGATATTGGACTTATATAATAGTTAGAAAAATCCAAGCTAGGATAGTTTTGATATTTTGATGCCATTATTGCAAGAGAAATTTCTTATCATTTAGTACATTTTCGTATACAGAGTAATATCGCAGCCGAATCGAATCATCGTTTTGTTTTCATATCTGAAAATCGAAATCGAACATCGAAAGCAGAGAGCGCTGTGAAGCTAACAAAAGTGACCGGGCCACCGTCAAAAATGTATTTAATGAGTGAATTTTCCCTCTTACACACGTCGGCTATTGTGAGACTCGCACAGGCATTTCAAAAACGAATACTATGGGGTCAAAATGGACCTAGAAAATTTGGATTTCTATTGACATGTGGACAGCTTGTGGGTATTTCACTAGGCAATTCCGTAGTTTTTCTTTAGTCCTCGAGTTTATATGAAAATTTTATTTAAATTAATCACATACAATTACTCATACAACAACATCGATTGCGAAGTATTTCAACTGTGTATAGAAACACGTATTATGTAAAGATGTCAAAATGAGAAAATTTTGTTCTCAGTCAAAATTCAAAATTAAAAAAATTTTATTTTATTTGGATAAAACTTTTGTTTACTATACATACTTGGCCGATACATAAAAACCAACTAATTTTCGCAATAAAACACCCTAAGCCACGTTATTGCCCGACAACTTAGAAGATCTTAACTACTTCTTTGTTCTAGAAAAACAAGAGGAGGTTGTTTATTTAGAGTAATGAAAAACAAAGATGGCAAAAATTCGGGTGGGAACAGTCCGACCGATTCTCAACACGCTGACGTAGAAGGCTGTAACTTCGGACTAAAGCCATTTGAGCTACTATATCTTTGGTATCCGAATCAGGAGAGTGTGAACCACCTCGAGTATATCCGTCGACTGGAGTGCGAGTTTACATGTCTCCAACGAGCATTCCTAACACTAACCACACAATTTGCGCGTTTGCAATTCCGCATACGACAAATCGTTCAAGCCGAACCTAGTGAACGCCATGATCTGCTTCTCGAACTCGAACATGTGGCATTTAATCCTGACGAAGAAAAAGACGAAATGCCGCCAACAAAAAGGGATTCCCTAAGTATGGGTGAAGTACGACACAAACAGCATTACATTCTCGAGCAATTGCGTCGGCAACTTTGCACTCTGGCGGAAGCACAGAATTGGAAACCTGAACCGGAATTGAATGCGGAACCACCCGCACCAGGTTCTGTGGACGAAGTAGTTTGCTGCTGTATTAGAAAGAAACGAAAACCTCCACCACCGCCGCTACAACCACAACAGCCGCAAACTCCCGACATGAATGATAATGCACACGAAAATAATGAGGAATCCAGATATTCAAGCTCAAGCAAAAACCAAACTGAAACGGAAATGGGATTAGGAACTGATAGAGATATTGAGATAGAACCATCGCAAAATTCAAGTGCAAAACAGAGAGTCTCGATCTCTAAGGAGGAGGCCTTAGCCTTTGCATGCAATACTGATCCTTCCTATTCCATTAAAGCTTCAACTACCCGAGTCAGTATTTGCCCGGAGAACGATGAAAATGCTAAGCAAGCCCGGCCATGCACCTGTAGAAAAATAAGCCAAAGACAGGATCGCTAGCATATGTAATCCACATACATGTTCCAATGTTTCTTGAAGCATGAATTTTACCCAAATAATTACAATTTATTTTTTACGTCTGGCTTTTGCTTTTCTCTTCGTCATTCCTATGCTCTTTTGATTAACATAACAACAATATACTTTATTTAGTAATATTTTATTTCAGAAGCATTTAAAATATATATTTTAAAACAGTCGGCGGCCATAATAAAAGTATAATTAACTGATTTGTGGACTTACTTGTCTATACAGTGCTGTCTCCTTTGCTTCAGTGCTGCATCGCCTTTAACTTACTCGTTTTTTAGAGATACAAATTCATGCTTTCAACGAGGTTCCTGAAAAATAACGGATCTGATTCACTATCAGAAAACTTTGCCTCATGTGCTTCAAATTAATACTCTTTAATCATGATGAAATGTTCAAATCGTTTGAAAAAAATATCCCGCGTCAACTGCTCTATCAGCTGCTCTGTTTTGAGCGTTGCTTTAGATATGCATTGAGTCTATAATACAATTAATATAGGCATTCCGAGAGGGGGGTTTCTGTTATAGTTCTCGGACAGGATAATTAGTACTTGCAAATAGCAGATGTGCCAATATCGAACGCCAAATGTTGTAACAGTGTCTTATTAATTGACTTACTGACATAAATGAGAATGAGACGAGAGTAAAAAAAAGACCGAATCTTTGCATTGTTATTTGTTGAAATCATTGAGCATATACATCGAACTATAATGTAGATTTACCTAAAAGATCTACAAATTTAACCACAAATCATTTATGACATTTATAATGCGCAGAGATTCGGCATGATAGGAGGCGCTAAGCAGGATAGCAAGTGGTGTCATTCATGAATTGCTTCAATAAATAATATTTCCTCCATGTCTAATAATACTGATTCCATGAATGTTATGTGAGACTTCAATTTTCCTTGTGTATAATGGAAATCTATTGATTATTATTGATATTATATTTCAAACAAGTTTTGTAAGTCTTTACATCTAGTTTACTTTGATAACGCTTCAATATTATCTGTTATACGATGTGATCCTTCGGTTCCGCCAAGAGTCCTCTGGTCCTCATCCTGCTTTGGAAATTAATATCGAAATAATAGCTAACTTACTTCATAATAATACACCAAACTTTTGTTCTCGGTTCAGCTATGGGAAAGCTACTTATAAGAAGATTAATTGCGAACTTTGAAGTAACTTTCCAGGGGCCCTATTCTGTATCTCTACTACTCTACTCTACTTTATAATTTTTGTTTTTGGTTTCTACAACTCAAAAGCTAACAAATATTTTATTCGAAAATTGGCTTGAAAATCCGAAAATCGAGTTACAGAATATAAAAAATCCGAATTCGACTAAATTTTTTTCGAATCGAGTTACAGAATAGGCCCCCAGACTACAGTGGCAATATTGAATCTAGTGTCTCCCATTTTAATGAAACGTTTTTAAATTTATGTGAAAGATATGTTTCGATACTCAAAGAATAAGTTCTAACTTGTGGTTTTCGAGATGTAAATCAAAAAATAAAAAACCTTTCACACTTAAAAAAACAACTGGTTTAGCTGTTGACTTTTCTTCTAAATTGTGCCGACAATTGGCCTTACAAAATACATATGTTATAATAATTACATAAACAAAGTAAACAAGTAAAGAAGGGCTAAGTTTAGGTGCAACCGAAAATTTTATACTGTTGCAACTTGCAACAATCAAAGCCAGAGAAATACTTTAACAGAGGTCATTGGAGAAACATGATATTAGTTATATAAGTTATTTATTTTAGGCGTAAAGATACACTGTTATCAATAAAACACGCTCTGTTATTTTCATTGGGATAACTTATACATTGGCCCGCTTCAACCCATTTTTGACATACCGACATACCGATACGAGAAAGATTAGCCTTAATTTCAGTTATATATGTATATCACATATTGACGACGGTTCCTAGCGATTTGAACAGTTTTCATTGTACTTAAACAAATTTTGGTCTTAAGATGGCACACACTCAAGACATTATTTATGCAAATTTGTATCCCCTTGTATCAATTGCTTCTTGCTTTCTGTACTTGAAACTGAACGAATCAAATAGAATTTAAAAGTATGCTTATGAGCAGTAGGCGTGGTTGTTGTCCGATTTCGTCCATTTTTACAATGTGATATAATAATGTAAGTAGAATTACGTACTAAATTTTGTCGAACTCGGTCAGTCGGGTCCCCAGATACGGGGTTTCACCAAAAAGTGGGCGATGCCACGCCCACCGTCCAATTTTCACACCAGCTCCCATAAAGTTTTCTCATACCACTTCGGTGGTAAAATTTAATGTCTCTGGCGTATTTAACACGCTTTTATTGGTTTTAAACAAGTGGGGAGTGAGCGGGCTTATCCTCCAATTTCATCCATTTTCACATTGACGGGAGAAGTTCTTATAAGACTTGTATTGAGCAAATTTGGTTGTGCTTAAGTGGCTTACGAAATATGTACATTTTCTCAAAATTTTTTACACACAGGTGTCCCTAGGTACAGCGATCCCCTGAACCAATTACAATTTTATTCAATTTTACTCAATGATGGGCAGGCAGTCAACCGAATTTCAACTTTATTTGATACGTACAACTGTTAAATGAACAAAACTATAATACTCTGTGCCAACATGTTACAAGAGTAAAAAAAAATGATATTATACGTAATTAAAAATTGGTCTATGGTTTCGTCAACTTTAAACGCAAGATTTCTAATAATTAATAATTTCTCTAATTAATGCGCCTTCTCTTTCCGAAGTTGAGGTTTTATATCAGTTAAATATATTAAAGAAATCATTTAATTATGGTGCAGTTTCCCTCATACTTTCTTAGGAAATATATATATATGATACAAAGATATATACCAACTCCTAACAAAACAATTTAATGGACCTCTTAAGCAAGGCTTATATCCATCAATCATTTATATCATTTATATAATAGTGGATTAAGGTCATCCATTCAAAACTATAGGGGTCAAAGTCAAAGTTAAAGTCAGCAATACCTAAACTTTTTGAAGCAATTATAACAAACTAAAAAGCTTTCTGGATTTTTCCACTAATTTCTTGTTCTCAATACGTAACTAATTTGCTAAAATGTATAACACATGTATCAACGACCTTTAGTGAGATTAAGCCTACTTATGTTATATACGAAGATTTTAGTAAAACTTTTGATAAAGTGAACCGCTAATTTCTTTTAAATAAACTGAATCTTCTTGGTCTTCAACTAATATTTCTAAAATGAGTTGATTATTATCTTAATAATAGAATTCAACTAGTTATGCTTAAAGATAATTTTTCTGATTTAATCAATGCTCCTTCGGGCGTTCCTTAAGGCAGCCATCTTGGTCCAATTCTGTTCTTGTTATGTATTAATAACATATCATCTGTTTAAGTATTCAAAAGTTTTATTACATGCTGATGATGTAAAACTTTTTAAATAATGTAGTACAAATAGCGAAAGATATCAGTTGCAAACAGACTTAAACAACCTAGTTAGAAATGACATGCCATTGAACCTTAAAAATGTAGAACGATGTACTTTTCACTCGGACCTTCATACGTAATACAAAACTTTACTTTGGAGCAAGTATGTAGTTTTATTGATCTGGGAGTAACTATGGACTCCAAACTTAATTTTAATCTTCATCAGTTTTTAAAGCTAAATGCGCTCTTATTTTTGTTAAACGTTGGTATAAAGAATTTAGGGAACCGCTTGCTACAAATTTTTTTACATGTTTGGTGAGATCTATACTCTAGAGTACGCTTCTGTGGTTTGGAACCCAAAAACAATTTTTACTTTTTTCCTTAAGTAATTTTTATAAAAATAATTAATCTACCTACGACCCGCTAGTCGTAGGAGAATGCTTGTTATAATATTTTTTGTGATGGGTCGGTCTGTATTCCTTCGCTGTTGTCTGATATTAATTTTAAATACCGTTACTTATAAAATTTTCAAAACAACAATTTTTGAATTAAAGGAACAATTCCGCCGTATATGTCACGATTTCAAATCTCATTCCAGCACATTTGATCTAACATACTCACTATTTACCATTAAAAAATATTTTATCTACTTTTAACAAAGTAACAACCTTTCCTTAACCTAATTCATAATTTTGGCTGCTGAAATTTTTGTTTCTGTAGCCTGAGCAGCTTAAGATTGCAACGCTTAAAACTACTTCCTTTTATGGCTCAGCTAATTCCACTCTTTTGGGCGGAAGAAGGGTAATCGTTCGGTATATTATTATTATTATGATCAAAGTATGAGAGTTGTCCTTAATCTGATTACACTAACCCCTTTTGGACGTATTAATGATCGATACAGGTCAGACTGCTGGTTAAAGACGCAATAGCGTCTGCAGTTGCAATATTTGAAGGCCAATTGCGGTACGTAAAATCGATTTAGACATTAATGGGTTCAATCAACAACGTTGTCTAAATGAGTAGATACACATCTCGATATCGAATTATTTGACTGTTCATAATTGACATCATTAACTTCGTTGACCATAACATGCCCTACAAGAGCTATAGTGGTTAGATAGCGGGTGTTCCGAAAAATGAGCATGAGTTCTCTGGGAGAAAATCTATAATTTTTTAAGTTTGACAATTCAAAATATAGTCCATAACTTTGATAAGTTAAAACCTCTCTTTCTCCAATATCCGGTGCGTTGTGCCATTATTTTATATAATCGGTTTCAAACAATTTTATAGCGTCTGTAAAAACTTTATTTTTATCAGCTAGCCTCAACTCCAAAATTGCACATTCCTTCTCCAAGAAGTTCGTTGACCCCCAAAGCCAACTAATCCAATCTAGAGAAATGCAAACACTCAAACAAGGCGAAAATGAGCAGAATGAGTCTGGGGAAATGCGTATGCAGCCAGAACCGAAAATCGCATTGTTCCAAATGGCCAATAGCTACATTACTTACCTGAATTTATGCGCTTACAAAGCAAGCGAGCGGCCAGACACAAAGCGCTGCGACTGTGTAAAGCAAATTTTTATACGCTTAAATTATTATATTCGCTCGCAAGGATAGGCA